AAAAAAAAAAAAAAAACTGAAGTAGAAAGAATGTTCTTCAACAGATTAATAGGAGGCCCCACATACATCCAGAATCTCAATCTGTTCAACTTTCAAGTTCTAAAGACTGGACTTCGGCTGCACACACACCTACCACACGTGTGCCTTCTGTGACTTTTCAGGCTGACGGATGGAACTATTTTTAAGACCCGTTCAACACACTGGTCCCAAAGCAACACCCTGAAATCTCCTTTGAAACCTTGAAACTTTCCATTCCAGGTGGAGCTCAGACTATCCCCTCGCTGAAGTCCATACTACATTTGGGTGAACAACTGGAATCAGAACAAACCATCCCCTGGCTTTATAGGCTTTTTGTAGTCTTTGCCAAGAAGAAGTTCAAGTAAGAAGTGAGCAAATACATTTGATCTTTAAAGACGGACACAGGACAACGGTACATAACTTAACTTTGAAGATTCTCATTTGAGGCTTAGAAAAATGTGCTTTTCTGCAACCTGCCCTCCACACACAGCATGTTGGCTGACAGGCTTTGGGGTAAGGGTGGGGTGGGTGGTGAGTGAGGGAGAAGCAGATACAAGGTAGAGTGTGGGGTTTCAAAGCAGTTGTTTTTGTTAGACTCTAATAGCAGTAAATGCGACTTCACTTAATTGCATTGGAGCAGTAAACCAACAGATCAATAGCTGATTTGAAACCAGGAATGCTTAAAATTAAAAAAAGAAAATGTCAGGCAATCTGGCAGTATTTGTCTTCTGATGTAGGACTAGGGCGGCTTGGAAAAGGTCACTGTGGGTTTCAGATACAACGTTTTGTGTGAAGACTTCTCAGTACAAGTACCACAGTGTTCCCATTGTATAATCTCTTTGAGATTGGTTTGTTTGCTGGAGAGGGAACAAATTCACTCCCTTTGATGGTTGGTTGCCCCCTCAGCCTCTGAACTGTCAGTTTGAGGATTTTCCTTCAGCATCTGACACTGTGGCATGTTACACTATTATACCAACTCTTGAGAGAGGATTTGCCACCTCACCTCCAGCGAGAAGGATAAAATACGTGAGAGCTGACATGTTCTTTAAGAAATTGAGGAGTGGGGATAAGGATCCCAGCTCTGTGAGCCTAGACTTGCTTCCTTCCTCGTTATATCTCCCCTCCTACTTCTGGGGAAAAGGGCTGCTTGGAGGGGTTAGGGCAAGCCCGGAGGGAAAAGCGGAGAGAATGCTGCATGCTCCCCCACGGACTCGATGAACTGGGCCAGATGGAGACACACAGAGTACTTACTTCCATCACAGACTTGGAAAAGGGGTCCAGGATGGGTCACTGTCATGGGGGAGAGCACCAGGCTTGGAGTGATAATACCTTCCGGCCTACCAGCTCTCTAGATTTCCAGGAAGAGCTGTCAGATGCCCACTGGGGGCAGGTCCCTTCATTTCTCTGGATGGAAGGTGCCTATGTATGAGGTGAGAATAGATTCCTTGAGAATCTCATGAATGCAATGGACCCTTCTACCAGGGCAGAGATGAGTTTGGGATGCACGCATATTTTCCACCCAGTGATGGTGATGACGCACTCTGGATTCTATCTATGGGCCCCTCAATAAGAAACATCTGGACTCGATGTCAGCTCTGTGACCCCACATCAGTTTCAGAGACTGTCTCATGCGTCATCATCACAGATGTCTGAGTGGGGAAAAGAACCTTGGTATGATGTCCCCCACTTCACAACTGCAGGTGAGGATCTGGAATCCAGAGTCTGACTCACTTACTCAAGGTCTCATGGTCAGCTGAGCACCAGGGCCAAGGCCACAGCACTCTTTTCTGGCTCCGTGGTGCCGTACATGACAGAAGTCTTCAGTTTTTTACTTGGATGAAAATGTTACTTAACATATCTTCTCTGATTATAAAAGTTCTAAAATTGTGACAGAAAAATAAACCAGAAAGAGCATTCTCACATTTTAGTGATGGGCTTTGGGTGGTTTTAAGCTGTTTTTTGTTTGGGTACTTTTTGTTTAATGAGCATTTTTTCCTAAAAGAAGTTATGTTTGTATTAAAGACAAGATAAAATAAAGTGACTGTTTTCTGGACATGCAGGCTGTAGCGTAAACATTGTACAGGGTTATTTTGCTTCCTTGCTGCAGTCTGTCTGTCCACCAGCTCTTCTGATAGAAGGAAAAACTGTAACAATGAGGTAGAAGAAAACATGTCTCTTACTGTTACTGACAATTCCTCGGCAGAGGCTACAACTAGAGAGAGCAGAAGATGGAGTGGGAGAAGTCACCAACCAGCCATAAGCCACACCGCCTAGAATCGGCTGACAGACCACTCCCTGACCTCCTGGACTGAGTAGGAGAGGAGAGGAGAGGAGTGGACTTCCCACCACAAGTTTGAGTGCTGGACACTCAATCTCTGTGCGTTAGAGTTCAGTGGCACTCCCTGTCCCACTGCATCACCAACTCAAGTCATCAAAAGCTGCCATAACCTCCCTTCTTTTGGGGTTTCACCACTCTCTGGCAGAGTTGGTGGCATCCCTGAAATTCAAAACCTAGAGTGTTTGTGAGTGATGCTACACGAGGGAATTTGTGTAGTTGTGTGTCGGCAAGCACGAAAAACTTAGTTTAGAGGTCCTTCTAGGCAGTTAAAACTTTTTTACTGAAATATAATATTTACACATATTTATGGGGTACATGTGATATTTTGATGCATGCATACAATGTGTAATTATCAAATCAGGATATTTAAAATAATCATCACCACAAACATTTTTCATTTCTTTGTGCTAGGAACATTTCAAATTTCTTCTAGCTGTTCTGAAATAGACATTATTGCCAGCTATAGTCACCCTACTGTGCTACCAAACACACAGAGTTATTTCTTCTAACAGCATGTTTGTACCCATTAACCAACCTCTCTCTTCATCCCTCCCCCATTATCCTCACGTTCTTCCCCACCTCTGGTACCTATCATTCTATTCTCTATCTCTGTGAGATCAACTTTTTTAGCACCCACCTGAGTAAGAACATGTGATATTTGTCTTTCTGTGCCTGGCTTATTTCACTTAATGACCTCCAGTTCTGTCCACATTGCTGCAAATGACAGGATTTCATTCTTTATTATGGCTGAATAATATTCCACTGTGCACATGTACCACACTCTCTATACCCATTCATCTGATGATGCGCACTTAGGCCGACTCCGTATCTTGGCTATTGTAAACTGTGCTGCAATAAACATGCGGATACAGGTGTTCCTGTAATAAGCTGATTTTCTTTCCTTTGAACAAATACCCAAGTAGTGGAATTGGATCATATGGTGGTTCTATTTTTAGGGTTTTTTTTAGGAACCTCCACACTGTTTTCCATAATGGTTGTCCTAATTTACATTCCCACCAACAGTGTATAAGAGTGCCTCCGGGTAATTTTTAAAAGGACTGACAGCAGGTTTAAATCTTGGAAAGATAAATGTACTAAAGCAACCAAAATTGTCAAGTATGTATAAATGGGAAATTATATTTATGCCCATTTTTGGGATCCCTTTAATCACATTCTGGTTTCTCAAACGGCCTCTAACTTGAGAGATTCAGAAATATGAACTATGAAGTATGATGAAAAGAAAATGTTCCATGAACCAAAGAGAAAGAAAATACATGCTGTTTGGAGTCTGTGCTAGTGTCTTCCTCAACACATATTTCTCTTCATCCTCAGGAGTCAGATGCTGATTTTTAGCTGGCCATATTGCTGCTCAGCTAAAACATCCCAGTTCCCATCCTTCAGTGCAGTTGGAGCTAGGTATAGCCATGTGACAAAGTTCTGGCCAGCGCGATGTAAGCAGAAATACTCTGCGAGAGATATGGGAAAATCTTTTTGAGAGGCCACACCCTTTTTCCTTTCGTCCATCCTTGCTGTTTCCTATCTTATGTGATGGATGGAGCTATAGCAGCCAT